ATAATTCATAATTATCTTGAAATAATTTTTTTTAAAAATAAGATAATTTTTTTTTTTGAAAAACCCGTGACTGCACGGTTGGCAACCGTGGTTGGCTAGCCGGGGCTAGCCACGGTGGCTGGCTGCTTTGCAGCAGCCACTGCCGCAAGGCAGCAGCAACCAGCAGCAGCGGCAGCCATGGCAGCAGCGTGCAACACTTGCACAACTGCTGCCTCAGCCACCAAGACCGCCGCCCTCTCCCTTCCCCTCCCTCTTGGACCGCCACCTGATCGGCAGCCGTCGTGGCTGTGCCACCCAGCCGCGGCTGCCGGCCACCTAAAATAGTTTTTTTTTGTGTTTTAATTTAATTAAAATAACATTTATCATAATTAAATTAAATCAGTCCATAAGATTAAAATTAAATCACATTCAACTTTAAAATTAGGGTTCTTCATAAAATTAATCCCAATTTAATTCTAACTTTTAAAATTAAATTTATGATCATACACAAAACACTTTTATGCATAAATCAATCTAATTAAAATTATGAATCATAAAATAAATCGAATTAAATCAAAATCAAGCACAAAAATCATATTTTAGGGCTAGGATTTTCGAAAAATTCGAAATTTAGGGTTAGGGGGTTCGAAAATTTCGAACACATTAGGGCTAAAATTCAGTCCCTTCATGGCTATTTTGAGCATAATTAAATCACATTTAATCAATTCCAAAAGTTTAATCACATTAAAAATAATAATTGAACCATAATTAAAATAATTTCTCCCTCTTAATTGATTATAAAATTAACGTGGACATCAAATAATCGTATAATTATGATCTAGCGCGTTCATGCAAGAGGCTAAATGATACCACTGTAGGAGTTTATAGGTACTACGCAGCGGAAATAATCATGAATCATATTCAATCAAGTACCAATCCCAAGAATCACATGCATAACACACAAGACACATAATCACACCTTTGACGCGTGAATTCCACGAAGCTATTCGACAAGAAAATCAGGGAGAGAATAGAGCCCCAAGCGTTGCTCCTCTACTTAGTCCACGAGATTCAAACAAGCCGTCCACCAATACTAGATTGGTCAAGTGATTGAGGAAAACCACGATCACCACCTTTATGGACAACCGACCACTACACGAACCACCACCACCACGACACACCACCGGCGCCTAGGAGGAGGAGAGAGTCGTGAGAGAGAGAGGTGGTTGGGGCTTTTGGGCTAGGGCACGAAGCCCAAAACTCCCTTGTCCACTCCATATGGCCGGCCACCTAGAGTGATGAGGCCCGTGATGGGCCTCGTCCTCTAATGCTCGATCTAGCCCCTTTGTGTGACCTTATAGGATCCGTCCAATTGGGCTTTGGGCTATTTTACTAGTCCAAAGATCGTTAGTACCTCTAGCTATGGCAAAAAGACGACCCAAAAGTACGAACTTAATTATCTCCATAATTTGATCCAATTATATATCTAGTAATTGCACACGACGAAGACATAACTCCTTCAGACCTCACATATGTATCTCTTGTGATGTTTCCTTCCCTAACACCCTCCATACCTCTCTTCTTTGTTTTTTAAGTGGTGTTATGCAACCGTGAGTGAGTGAATGAGGATTTAATTATGTGGGTTGAGCTCTCACAATATATATAAGAGTGATGTGGAGTTGAAGGTGGTTGGGGAGCATTTACCAATGATTTAAATTACCGTTACTTTATCTTATGGATGTCAAATCTACTAATGGTTTAAGTCGTCATTATCTTGAACTAACATCTATAAGAACTGACCAGTGGACAATACATTGCCTAGATGTCTGCTACACTTTATGTCTTACATTTATGCAAGTCCACATTTCCCGTTGGGCTTCTTGATGAGGAGTCTAAAATAATTTGATTTTTTTCTTAGCGCTACTCCTATAATGTTGCATCTGTATATATTAGCATATCAATATCGGAGGGCTATCAATCTACTATTTCAAATTTTCGAACAATTACCCAGATGTCTCGTCAATTTAAATGATTGTTTTATCTCTTGTTTAGTTATGAAAATTCATTAGATTAGTAACAATTTTTTTATAATATAGTTTCTTGGGGAAACCTTACGTATGACGTTACCGATCAAGTGTTTGGCATGGTGATATCCCAAAATGTTGCTAGTGATTGTTGTTGCTAATAATACGGAAAATACTTCGTTCTTGTTTAACTAAAAATCTGTCGGACTTATTTGCATATTAAAGGAAAATCACTAGTCGATTTTTTTAATCATTATAGCGTGACTATATATTATACATGTATACGTCATATATATACAAAATTTATCTCAACTTATAATCTGACTTTCTGTTTTTAAAACCAATTAGAGCAAGAAATAATGGGAAAGATGGTAAAGTTATAAGATTTGTTTTTGGTTTGGCCATTGGATGCTTGTCACGTGTCTGCAGAACAGATGGTTTACTTATTTTTGTAGGACTAGTACACTTGAAGTGTGTAGAGGTCAACTTTATGATTGCTTTTGGTATTCGTATGTTATTTGGGATGTGAGATGTCCATTATTTACTTTAATGAATTAAAGTGGTAGACAAAATACTAATGACGATAATAATTAGAGTGGTAGTCAAAATACTAATGATTATGATAAGAGGTTATAATTGGAATAATAATAACAATAATAATAACAATAAAGTAATTAACAATAACAATGATTATGATAAGGTACTAATAACAATAATAATAATAATATTATTAATTATTATTATAATTATTAACTTTATTATTATTATATTGGAGAGACTAATAATAATAATAATAATAATAATAATAATAATAATAAAACCTAAAAGTTATTCTAAACAACACCACATACTTGTGGTTTCTGAAAACATGAAAGCTACGTTTGGAAAATTATCACACGTGGGAAAGTGGTCCCAACATGTTCTCATAAACTATGACGAACATTATGGGTCTCAGGCCCACGGCTCTTACGGGTAGGCCCGTACGATGTTACTAATTTAAATATTTTTTCTATTTAAATTTTTTAATTTTATATAATGAAAAATGATTATGTCCTTATATGTCATTTCCTCCAGAACAAATGCTACGCTATGCTCTTAGTGATATTTGTATCATTTGTACCCTAGTCAACCCACAAAACATATTTATAAAGTCAATCGCTGTAATATGAAACACCTACACCATTCAAAGTTAAGTTTGATCGATTTACAACTACCCTATTCATATTTAGATTATCAATTAGAGTAGAAACAGTCCCAAAAAAGCCCTACCCACTTCCTATAATAGCCGAATAAACAAAACTTTACATCAGTTAGATGGTCACCTTCAAGTAAAAGGCATACCTTCCAACTCCACATACACCTTTTCACCGAGTTGGACCCCCTCACCACGCATCATTTCGGGCACTCCTTTCTTAATGCTGCAGGACACAATTGACTTATTTTTGTCGAACCTCATTCACATTGTTTCTTTCCATTTGCGTTTCACCCAAAGTTCTATCGAAGTTTCTTTCCCAAGTCCTTAGAAATGTGCTTTAGCAAACGGTAGAGGAACATTCTAGAAAAACAATCACCAACAACAACGTTGTATGAATATGGAAAATATGAAACGGCTTAAGGAACAATGGTGTTGTTAAAAATTGAAAAAAATAAGGATGTTTTGTTCAAATTGACAACCTTAAGGATGCTTTACTAAGATGTGAACTACTTGTTCCAATACTATGTAAATGTAGGGTAAAAAATTATAACAATAATAGAGTAGTCAACTTACAATTCTAGGTTTCCTCATGTATCCTTTGGTGAAAGTAAACTTGAAGGAGGGTATTCCAAGTACTTCCGTTGGAACGAACTCCGATGTGTCAGCATCACCGATTGAGCCGTCATGCTCTATGAGTTTAAATTAATCTATGAACTGTGATCTCTTCACCGTCACGCCAAATCCTAACCTCATTCATAGGGGTGTTAACAAACCGATCCTGCTCGTGAATTGTTCGATGCTCGGCTCGGTCAAAGCTCGGTCAAATCTCGGCTCGAGCGGGCTCGACTCGAGTTTGAGTTTGGCTTGACATCTTAACAAGCCAATCCTGAGCCACCCATGGCTCGGCTCGAAAGCTCTTGAACAAGCTCGAATATTTTTTTATATTAACATTTTATTATATATATTAAATAACAAAATAAATAAATAAATAAAACTATTTAGACTTTTTTTGCATACGTATTTCCCAATTCTTGTATTGGGCCTCATTTTCATTTATAGATTTACCCTCCATTATACACATCTCAATATAATACCTTCAAGTTTCAACCCTAGCCGTTATTGCCTGATTGTCTCCCTTAGTTCTTCACTCCACTGTTTGCCTCACTCCTCTGATCCAATTAAGCAATCCTCTGACGGGTGAGTAGTCTTCCTATCAAACTTTGATTTCACCTGTTTGCCTCGCTCTTTTGGTTCGTTAGTCCTCCGAAGCTCCGATAAAAATATGGCAGGTGACTTTCGTTCAATTGTCTCATGAAATTATTTAAGTTAGTTATGAGTGATATATTGATTATGTAATTAAGCAAGATTTGATTTCATAGTTTGGTTATGAACAACAAAATCAAATTCGTTTATCTATGTTTAATGTCTTGTACGAGTTTGTTTGGATATGAGTTTAAATTAATTTATTTTTGTTTAAATTTGTTAATTTTTTGGACAAATTATTGTGTTTCTGGTTGTACTTCTTAAATTTATTATAAATTTGTTGTTAAATAATATCTTGTACTCGTGCAATGAGTTTCATCTTTATTCATAATTTGTGGGTGCATGTTAAATTAGAGAATTTAATTGTTAAAATGGTTGGTAATTGAAATTGTATAATACCACTGTGCATTTGTGCATTGTCTCTAATTTTTTTATGTTGCATTATTTTTCCTCAGATGAATGTAATTCTACACAATTACCAACTCCTAATTGTTCTTCTACACCTTGTGTAAGAATTCTTTGTGAATCATGGTGATGAAATGCAAATACCCAATGCTGAATTGGAGGAGGAGGACAATGTTGAAGAAGGGGTACCCATTAACAACCAATCAGAGACAAATAAGGAAGATGTATCCCAACATGCTAAGAGAGCAAGGACATCTGAAGTATGGAAAGACTTTGACGAACCTTTTCTCGTAAGTGGAAAACGGAAAACTAAATGTAAGCATTGCAAAAGAATTTTTAGTTTTCCTAAATCTGGTTGTACAAGTCATTTAATACGTCATGCTTCTACTTGTTTACCAAAAAAAAATTTATTGAAAAAACAATCTATACTAAACTTTTTGCCATCTTATTCAAGTGCGGGTACACCTGATTTTGAATTTATTAGTGCTTTGCATAATGGCAAACTTGATATGTTGAGTATGATAAAAGAGATTGCAGATTGGATTATAATGTATGAGAAACCATTTTTTGTTGTAGAAGAAGTAGGGTTCAATATGATGTTAAAGAGGGGAATACCACAATGGAAAAGTGTATCATGTCATACTATAAGAAATGATGCATTTAAAGCTTATGATATTGATAAAAAGAAGTTGAAAGAAACCTTAAAAGATGTGGATAGGATTTCTCTAACCACGGATTTATGGCGTTCAAGACCACAAAGGATTGAGTACATGGTTCTTACGGGTCATTATGTTGATCGTGATTGGAAATTACAAAAGCGAGTGTTGAGCTTTGTACATATACCTCCTCCTCGAAAGGGAAAAGACATAGCAAATTGCATATTTAAGTGTTTAAAGGAAAGGGACATTGAAAACAAAGTAAGTTGTTAATAATACATTTGAATATATTTATTCCATATACTTGTTATTAGTGATAAAATTAACACCTTTTTTTTTTAGGTCTTCACGGTATCAGTTGACAATGCCACCGCAAATGATTCAAGCATACAAATCATGAGAGACACTTTCTCACATACTAAGAGGTTGATTTGTGGGGGAAAATTGTTCCATGTTCGTTGTTATGCACATATTCTTAACATCATGGTGCAACATGGTCTCAAACAAGTCAAATCAATCATTAAGAATGTTCACGATTATGTTGATTACCTTAATGGAAGTGAGGCAAGATTAATAAAGTTTTGTGAGATTGTCCAACAATTTAATCTCAAAGAGAGGAAACTAATTCTTGAATGCAAGACCCGATGGAATTCAACATATGATATGCTTGCTTGTGCTATCAAATTTAAGGATGTATTTTCTAGACTTGCTTTAGAGGATAATGAGTATGTTTATTGTCCTAGTGCCGATGAGTGGTTGAAAATTGAAAAATTGCTTGATATCCTAAAGGTGTTTTATGATACTACTAATATTATCTCGGAATCAGAATATCCTACTTCTAATTTTTTTTTGTCCGAGGTATATTACATTAAAGAAATGTTGGATAGAATTTATGATGCCCCTGATATGTTTGTTAAAGATATGGTCAAAAATATGAAAGAAGGGTTTGATAAGTATTGGGGTGAATGCAATTTGATCATGGCTATTGGTGGAATTTTAGACCCTCGTGTAAAAATGAAGGTTGTTGAAATTACTTTTCCTACAATGTTTCCTTCAGATAAAGTTAGGGATAATATACATAAAGTTAGAGATACTTTGTTTGAGTTGTATGATGAGTATTATAATATGTATCCCCCTTTGATGGAGGAATTTGGTGAATGTGAAAACGGTACTTCAAAAACTAACATGGGGCCAAGTCTTCATGGGATGTCTAGAATTTTACAAGTTGTAAGAAGTAGGCAAACATCTCAACCTAGGAAATCAGAAGTAGAGTTGTACCTTGAGGAAGAAACTTATATTGATGAAGGAAATAGCCCAACTAAGTTTGATGTCTTGCATTGGTGGAAAGAAAGAGCTAAAAAATATCGCATTTTGTCTAAAGTGGCTACGGATGTTTTAGCTATTCCTATTACAACCGTTGCTTTTGAGGCTACTTTTAGTGCTGGAAGTTGGGTTATTGATCCTTATCGAGCTTCACTGCTTCCCGAAACCGTACAAATGCTAATATGCACCGGAGATTGGCGTAGGTCTCTTTTTGGAGTAAAAAGAAAGAACAAAGTAAGATACTAATATTTATTTTTCTTTTTCTTTTATATGTTCCTTTTCTATTTATATGTGTAAATTGTATATATAACTTTATTATAATTTTATAAACTCTTCTATGTAGAATGTTGATGAAGATGAGCTAAAGGAAATCACTCTTCCAATTCCTTAGGTTAGTTTTCTGTAACTTTTTCTCCTTATACTATATTATTCAAAATATATATTGACTACTCTTAATCTCTTACATATTGTGCAGGTGTTTGGGAATCATTATTAAAAAGACCAACAAAATATGGCAACAAAGAGGGGCTACTGCATGCTACTATTATTTATTGATCGAAAGCGAAACCATTAACTTTATAAATTTTGTAATATTTATGTAGTAGTTTGTACCAAATTTCGCTACCTATAAGTATTTATAGTCAATTTTGTACTTTGATAGCTAAAAATATTATTTTGTGCTTCACAATTGTATGTCTAATTCTTATAAGTTAGTTAAATTAAAACGGGATAAATTTTGTGTAAACAGGTAAAACTCAGACTAATTAAAGCTTTTAATGCTCACATCCTATATTCGAGCTCAAGCCGAGCCTTGAGTTGGGCTCGAGCTCGGACCGAGCTCGAGCCGAGCTCGAGCTCGAGCCAAGCCCTTGTATAAGTGTTTCGAGCTCGAGCCGAGCTCAATATCTCAGGCTTGACGAGTTCAACATTGTCGAGCTCGAGTCGAGCCTAGAGATGTTCGGTCTCAGCTCGGCTCGTTAACACCCCTACATACAACATTTTGTCACTAAATTCTAACATAAACTGAATACGGTCTTCAAGTTGAAATTTGTTTGAAGTAACAAACTCACTCCATCCATCACCTAAGGAACTCTCAACCACACCCCTATCATCAACACCCCGTCCCACTTTTACCTTGTACCCCTTGGTCTCAGTGCCTCTGTGTAGGCGAATCACATCCCCTTCACTCTTCTTATCGTCCCATATTTATTTCAATTCTGTACCATACACTTCGGAAGAGCCTAAGAACATTGAAAAGCATTTGTTATAAATGCTAGCCATCAAGGGTGCAAAAAAATCCAGAGTATCATATATTATTCATTAAGTACAGACATGAACTCACCACTTTTTCTTTCCAACGATGATTACGTAGTGTGAAGTCGTATCTAGAAGCAGACATTATGTTCCTACATCACATAGCAATATATTTAGAATTTGCTAATTAATTAAACCACAAAAACCACCACCAAGGAGTATTCCATGATTAATATGGTAGTGTGTACAAATAACAAGGCATTACATAACAATTTTCCTCTTCCTCAACACAAAACATGAATATGATCCACATAACCACATCTGCCAAAACAACTTTCACAATGCATTCAATCATTCATTGTGGATGACAAATTATGCATCAGCAACGGTTAAGATGGGCAGATAGATGTTCTAATTGGCCTTTTTGGTGAAATTCGGACCAATTGTGGGGCAATTAATTATGAAAGATAATTTTACATTGAAATCTTATGTAATCATGACACTTACTTGTTTACTTGTATAAGTAAATTATAAGGTTTAGCAATTACTCAATAAAATGGGAACACATAATTCCAAATTCTTTAATGTGAAGTGTATTTCACTTGTTCATAATTCTTGTTCCTAATATTAAGAAACACCTTCAACTCATAAATCAACAAGTAAACCAACTGCAGATTGTTGGAAATAAAGAAAGGAAATTCAAAGGGTCAGATATGGGCGCCCGACCGAGCGAGACCCGCCCGATCAGGCGCGAGAAGAGTTGTAAAATTCTGGAGTTCCGCCGCCCGATCGAGCAAGCTCCGCCCGATCGAGCGCCCGACCTGGCGCCCGATCAAGCGCGTGTTTGTCTGTTGGACTCCAACGGTTCCCTTGGATTCCTCTTCTTGTTTTATTTCTTGTAACCCCCCATTTAAGAGGTTGATTATGGTGTTTTTAATCACCATAATATTTCTGATTTCTCTTTTTGGTTCATAAAAGATTCGTCCATGATCTTTCATCTTCTTTATTCATCTCTATAAATTAGAGGATGTTTTCTGATTTGTATACACAAGAAATACATATCAAACACAAGCTTTCTTAAACACATACTCTATATTGGGTATAAGTTACTTGGCTCCAACCTTCCACCCAAAAGTGCCTTTGTGTGGAAGTGGTGTGTTAACCTTAGGGAACGTGCCGGCGAATACAATAGTGCACCCTGGTTGCGCCGGAATTTCGTTGTCAAGTCAGTGATTTGCATCACGACACACCGTACTCTTTCGTTGTCACGAGATCATCTTTTCGATCTTCTTATTTTAGAATATAGCCTTGAAAATACTTCTTATATTACAACACAGATTATACAAACCCCATTCCAATTGAAGCTCTTAGCTACTAATCATTTCTTAAACTGACCAAGCAATTCAAATCTTTAACTAACAAGGGCTTATCAAACTTTTCCAACAGGTATCATGCACAGAACTATACAAGATCTAATAAACGTAGTAATTTAGATGGAGCCATCACTGAAATTTATAAACGAAGACTGAAAATCCACCCTAGTCAAGGAAGAGCGGCTACAGGGAACAATTCACCACCTCAACATAACTCCAGTTGACATGAAGACAAATTTAATTATGAAGGAACGAGGGAAAGAAAGCAATCTGTTATTCGAAATTCGGCTAAGTCACATGTAAGGCCTTAAGGTCGTTTGCTATGTCTTTATTAAATTCATTCGTACTTAGTCCGGAACAGAAATTCCCTATTATGTACTTCAAAGCAGGCACATTGCCTAATTAAATAACCATTCCTTTTGGCTTATTACATATCACATTCCAAATTAAGCATTATTCAAGTAACTAACATTTTCCTATTATTTAATCGCTAAATGAAGCCCAAAAATCAACAATAAAGGATGATAATATCATCACCTTTAGTTTCAAAACTACGAACATTAAAAAAAAATGAATCAGTACATTGTAAAATATTTATAAATAGCATATACATTCTTCTCATATGAGTCTTTCGTTGTACATAGATAAAAATTAAATCAATGAATTCAACAACCCAGGTCGAAGTAAGTATTGTACCTTTACACATGAGATGCGAGCCGTGTCTGCCGTGAGGTGGTGGGTGTGGGTGTTGAAGGTCGTTAGAAACAATGAAGGTAGAGAGAGGATTGATTTAGGGTTTATAAAATTGGGGGAAATCGGGGTGAGAATAGTAGAGAGGTAAAGAAGTCTCTTAGATCTAAGCAGGCAAGTCCCGATTTTTGACCAAAAAAAAATAAAAAAACCTGAAAAATAATAAATATATATAAATATAGAGGGCCCACGTATAATATTAATATTACATTAGATTTGATTTGTTTTTTTAACAACTTGTTTAAGTCTCGCGCAATGCACGGTTTTTACTTATCCTAATTTTTAATTACAGTGTTAATTTAACAAAAACTTAAAATAGATACTTGAATTTCTTTAAAAAAATAATATTAATTAAAATAAAAAAGAAAAACAAAACTTGAGTTTAATATTATATTGATGTCAAAAGTTATTGATCATTAAACATTTTTTTTTTAAAAAAAACACAAATTTAATGAATATAGGTTTTTACATTAGAATTAAATTTTAAGTTAACTAGTTTTGTGCCCGTGCGATGCCCGGGTTGTTTATTGAATTTTAAGATAAATTTTTAATCTATATGTCAAATTTTAAAATATATCAATGATACAAAATTAGTTAGGAATTGATGTGTTTTTGTGATAATTTAAACTATATAATAGGCATGTAATAACTAATAATAATAACATTGGTGAAAAACATTTCTTGACCCATAACCTGAAATAATGAATTTGTCCGAAATAACTCATGACTCGACCCGATTGACAGATCTACACACAGTAATAAAATTATATTAGATTGTAAAATATATTGTTTTAATTGATTAGAATATATTATAAATAATGGATGTGGTGCATTTTGAGTGAATTCCTTCGTTCCAAAAAAATACTATGATATAAAAAAATTAATTTATATGATAATTTATGAGTGTTATAATTTTTTTTTAACAAAATTATAATTTAATTTGTACATATGAAATATTGGTACTTTATCGAAAATAAAACTCTAAATCAACAATTTTATCCTAAAATTCTATCCAAATTTGATTGAAAATAGAATTCTAAGTTAACTTTTTTATCCTACAAATTGAATTCTATAAACTCTATCCTAAGTGGCGCGACACTTGGCGAAAATTTGAAACGCCAAGTGTTGTTATCTCGTCGCCTGGCTAACAGTTTAGCTTTATATATTAGTTATATGATTATAACCCGTACAATGTAATTTTTTTAGAGGAGCATGTGTAATGTACATACCTCAACGTCCCAATTTTGTTGGCATGTTTTGACCGGCACAATGTTTTATAGCTTACGTTGACCGATATAATGTTTTATACAAATTTAATTGACTTTTATTTTTTGATAATTAATAATCAAGGTTTTTTATTTTTATTTTTCATTTTTATTTATTGAATTGTAGTGTTATTATTATAAATAAATCAATAAATATATACGTCGTAATACAAGTTAAAGAGTCAGTCAATCCAGGTTAAAAAAAAAAATTTCCAAAGAAAAAAATATGATACAAAATGATATGGAGTAGTACATTATTATTGTAATATATTACAGTACATGTTAGTGTATTTTAGAAAAAAAAATATCTATTATAAAATAATAGAAAGATAGGGTAAAATATTATTAATTTATTATCATTGAATGCATGTAGATTATATAATATACTTTGTATATAATATAGTTGCCAAATTGAAGCTTAAATATTCTAATATATAAATAAATATTCACGAAGATTGTAAAAAAAAAAAAAAAAAAAAAAAAAAGAAAGAAAGTTATAAATGGCGGGAAAACTTTTAATCATAACATGACAAGTGTCATGTCAGATTAACCTTTAGTATTATTTTATTGATGATTTGGCTCAATTTCATGACACCAAGATATGTATATAGTCCTAATTCTTATAAGTTGGTACCTTATGTGTCCAAAGCAGTCATTATTTTAGTTTATTATATAGTATTGTGCTTGTGCATTGCACGAGTTATAAATCAATTTTTTTTTTTTTTGTTGACAACAACATGATTTATCCA